GGCATGAGTGAGCAGGAAAGGGCCAGAAAGAGAGGGAGGGAGAGAGAAAATCCCAAGCAGTCTCTGTGCTGTCAGTGTAGAACCCAATGTGGGGCTCGATCCCAGGAGCCATGAGATCATGACCTGAGCTGAAACCAAGAGTTGGACTCTTAATGGACTGAACCACGCAGGCGCCCCAGATGTTCATTCTGAACCACAGACTTTTAGGTCTAGAACATTGGGAATGGCTTTATTGTCTTTGACTATGCATGGTGAGATAACTTGTACATTATTTAAATGGTATGATATATAAAATAAGAACACAAAGATTCCACTTGCCAGTAGGTCTAGACTGCAGAAGTCAGTGTTTATAGATAAACCACTCAGAGTTGTTTGTTCTCCTATTTGGACCCTCCACACAAACCTACTAATGAAATAGCCTGGCCAGGGAGCTCTGTGAAATTTCTAGATCTGAGGAAGATTCGACAACTTCTATTTGTCCTTCTCTTCCTTTACAATCCTTATTTTAAAATCCTCTTTCTTAATGTTAACTCCATCTCCAAGCTAGATCTGCGTCCTTTCCTTATATCCTCAGTATACCCACATAAGCGGTATTCTATCCCCTGCCCAAAAGAGCTTAAAAACCAGAAGAAATACAAGAAATTGGGATATACATTAACAAAATTGGCATAAGAAGAATAAATCTTTCCTGGAATTTTCTTAAAGGTTTTTTTTTCCCTTGGAAAGAAAGCCAAACTGTAAAGTAAAACACACTCAGCTGTTAATAAACAAAAACCTATCATATCTAAAATTCAGTTATTTTCCAAGACGAACTAACATTTGCTCTGTCTGTTTTTCCTACTATGCACATTTCATTTAGCCCAAATCCTCATTATGGGAAACATTTACATATCCATCTCGCGGCTCCAGCATTTCCTGGGCAGTGAAATATGTGCTCCGTGGTTTCAGAACCCTGGTTCTTACTCATTTTGCCAAAAGCAGCAAATCTTTAAAAATGAAATTTTCCAGGCACTTAGCCCCTAAATCAACCTTGTGGGGATAGATGAGTTTGAAACTTATCGGCCCACAAAATGTCTCACAGCCTTTAAAAATGTCATCAGCCTTCCCCCTGGGTAGTGTGGCCGGTGACACCCTGTGTCACAGCCCGAGCAGCTGAAAATGAATGTACCAACCCAGCGTTTTGAACCTTTATTAAGTTTCTTCTTTGCCGACAGCCTAATCCCTCATAGGCCTGTTGATTCCTGTTCATTTGTTCTCATTAAATGGATCTCTATGCTGGAGCCGTGTTTTGAACAAAGTTCAGCTATGTGGGGAGGTTCAGGGCTCGTCTGGGGGCAGAACTCCCACTGCAGCTGTCACCCGCCAGGCTGATGTGGGCCCAGAACCAGCCATGCGGCTCTGTGTCCGGGACTTCTAGAATCCAGCCCTGCCTCCTGCTCTGCCCATCCCTTGCAGCTCCAGACTCTATCTTACCCCTTCCTGGATGTCCAGTCCCGACCAGAGCCTGCCCCTGCCCCATGTGGGTCTCAAGCATGTACTGGATCCTTCCCTAGGTGTCCTAGCCATGCAAACAAGTTGAAACGGGGGGGGGATCATAGAGCCACAGCATCTTAAAGCCAGGAAGAACATTAGGAATTTCTAGTCTGGCCTCCTCATGTTCAAATGAGGAAATCTTGGTCCACAAAATGCATCATGGCCTGGTAATGCACATCAGAGCAGAAAGCAGGACTGCCTGAGAACCCATGGTCTTATGGGATGAATTGTATTTGGAGCATCTAAGAAACATTTTCACTCCTGTTAGGTTGGTCAGCTGACTGTTGGTACCTCCAGAACTGTATGTGGCTTGCACCAACACCCTAATATAATCTCGTAAAGATCAATTTTGAAAGGGTTCGGAGGAAGAGGGGTGATAGCATTATGATTTGTGCCAACTTCTGCTTTTATATTTGTTGTATATTAATGGCCCAAACTGTGACCTTCCAAATACCCAGTTTGGGCATGGTAGGTTGGTAATGTGCATTTTAGGGGAACTTGTGGCAAATTGGTTACCAACCCATCATCTGCTGGGGATAGTATTACAGACAATAAGATGAGAAGCACTTGCACACAGAAGGTTTGAGGGTTGGTTTGGGAGTATACGGGGCTCTGGTTAATAACATGGAAAGGTGGATTTACATGCGTGTTTACTTTAGATCATCACCTCTTTGCCACTTATCAAATCACAGTTTTAGCTCTGTGCCGCCTCTGCCCATAGAATGTGTGATTTCTTTGCTCACATGGTACTTGTAACATACACACAGCAGGTTTTCTCAGTTTGGGTGGAAATGGCTCTTCCTTCCGTGCAGAATGTCCAGCCGCCGCCATGGACGTGCAGCCACTACAGATCCTTACACTGTCTTGTCTTCCAGGCTCTGCGGCTACCCTCCCTTTTACGATGAAAATGACTCCAAGCTCTTTGAGCAGATCCTCAAGGCGGAATATGAGTTTGACTCGCCCTATTGGGACGACATCTCTGACTCTGGTAGGTATCTCCACTCCCCATGGGTGGCCCCTGGGACCCTACGTCCAGACCACCTGACTGTGACAGGCCTGGGGGGTTCGGAGCGGTCCTGAGGCTCCCAAGGACGTTTCCTTAGCTTCGTACTTGGACTTGACCTGCCACGTGGAAGATACGCTGGGGACGTCTGACCCGAGCCAGATTGAGGGACGGGACTGACTCCTCCACCACTCTTAGCCGTGCCCTGATCTGGGCGCTCCAGGACTGAACCAGTATCAGCTAACGTTTATTGAGTGCTTATTGTGCCCACGTGCTAGCTTACTTGGTCCTCAGGACAACCTATCCCATAGGTGTTACTATGATCCCCACTTGACAGGTGAATTAACTGAGGCCCCAGAAGGTAAAATGCCTTGACTGAAACCACACAGCTAGTAAGTGGCAGATCTGGGATTTGAACCCAAGCCCTCATGCCATAGCCCACGTCTCAGCTCCTGTGCCACACTGAAACGTTCCCAGAGCCGTTCACCATTTCCTCCTCAGGGATAAAGATCAAAACCAAGGCTCACGTAAACTGACGAATCTCTCGAGCCTCAGTGTCTTCCTGAGGAGGTCAGGATGATAATAATACTCCTCCCTACCAAAGTGGGTGGTGCAAGGATTAAATGAAATAATAAATAGGGCAGAGCCCTGCACTTACCGGTGAGCTGTTCAGATACGGCATTTTATTATTTGAGTTATTTCCTCCTAACTGGAAACACCTGCTTTATTCCTCAGCAAAATCGCGTGTTCATCGTGATCGGCTAAGTGGGCCGCGAGGGGGCTCCTTGAGGGCTGTGTATCCGCAGGGCCTGCCCAGGACCTGGTGGCCTTGGTAGAGGCCTTGGGGATTTTGTTGAATCAGTGATGTCTGAAACACAGAGAGGACGTCAACAAGGCAGCTCTCTTGGCAGCAATGAGCTCAGGGAGAGGCATATGATAACAAAGACGTTTGATCTCTGAACCGAAGAGGTCACCAGCTGCCAAAGAGAAGGGCTTTGACTTGGGAAGGCTGGGTCCGACGCCTGGCTTGGCTGCCTCCTCGTTCGCACTGTCACCCCTTAAGAGTGCCAAGTCTTGGCTTCCCTTTCCCCCAAACACTGATTCCCGCCCGCCTCCCATGTCCAGGTACCCAAGAGGGTTGGGGGGCATGGGAGGGGCTGGTCTGTTTTTCATGTGCCACACAATGTTCCTGAAGGCCTGGTGGCATCAGATTGTCACATCACAAGCCACAGACTGATTCCACCCCTTGTGCTTTCTTTTTGAACAGCAAAAGATTTCATTCGGAATCTGATGGAGAAAGATCCAAATAAAAGATACACCTGTGAGCAAGCCGCTCGGCACCCATGGTAAGAAAAATGACCCAGTAGAAGGACCTAATGCCATCTGATGGCTTCTCAGAGTAAAGTCCCTCTTAGCTGCTCTTTTTTTTTTTTCAGTATCTGAAGTTTATTGTCAAATTGGTTTCCATACAACACCCAGT